ATATATATATATATATAGGTATAGATATTTTTATATTTGTATACATATGTGTTTTATACTATTTTCTTAATTGTTTATGAACCTCTTTTTATGATTTTTTTATTTAAATCACTTTGAATTAGAATTGCGTATGAAATGTGCAATATACTGTAAATAAACTTTGTCTTAACGTAACTCAGTATAATACCAGGATGATTTAGAGGCCATCTAGAAAAGAAAACTACACTCACAATCACACTCACACAACCAAAAAGTAAAAGTAAACATATTTCCCATTATTTTATACTCTTGATTTCTGTGAGGTTTAGGGAGCACAAACACTGATCAAATATTAAACCCTGAAAACACAGTGTCTGTCAAATGAATAAATGCAAGTGCACACATCAGCAGATGCTACTGATGATCTCGTGTTACACAACGAACATAAAAGCATGCATTTTAAGGTTAGACTTTCAATTTTGATGTTAAATCCACTATTGTGTATAAAAGTTCAATTACATAAGTTGTAACTGTAATTAAATGACAGAAATTACGCACAGGACCAATGCATTTGAATGAAACGGGTGTTTTATTGTACAAACACATCATTCCCGTGACCTTTATCCAGGCGTCCCGTGGTTCTGATCTATTTGGGTCCCAGCATGTCCTGCGGTCGCACCCACTGCTCAAACTGCTCGTCTGTCAGGAAGCCCAGCTTGACGGCCGTGGCTTTCAGAGTCAAGCCTTCTTTGTGCGCCGTCTTTGCAATAGTGGCGGCTTTATCATAACCTGCAAGAGACGACCAGATCAGACACACAGGAGCGACAAACACACTTCAGTAGCAAGCTGACTTTTTTTGGGGGGGGGTCACCGTAGCAACAGAGTTTCCGATGAAGTAGCGATTTTTTTAATTTCCAAACGTTTTTTTCCCCTCAGTCTAAAATGACCGAATAACACCAGAGGGTTAAAAAACACGAGCCCTTAAATACTGCATGTCCCACACGACTCTCCGTTTCAGTAGAAAACACATCAACGCAGGTAAGAAACACACCCTGAGTGACCCTGGAGCACAAAAGCACAAAAGCTGAATAAATAAGCTTTCCACTGATGTATGGTTTGTTAGG